CATTTTCAACGTCGATAATAAATTAGAAATGTTTCTTGAGCCCCAAATCAGCATATTAGAATGATTTCTGATACTGAAGACTGGAGTAATGGCTGCTGAAAATTCAGCTTTGCCACCACAGGCTCTCATACCAGATCTTCATTAAGTGTCTGCACAGTTGGTTCCATGCTTATATCTTTGGTGGCCACCATCTCTGCTTCAACCGCACTCTCCTGAAGAGTGTTGAAGAACTGCAGACGAGATGAAAACAAAAAATAACTACACACTGAAACAACAATATAGACTAGAAGAGGTAGAGGAGTAGATCTAAGAAGTGTATTTCTCACTCCTTCAAGTGGAAGTGGTCTGATAAGAAGGTTCATTGCTAATCCTTGTACTTTGCTTTAATAAGTGTGTGTATGAGAGACAAAGACAGAGGGCTTGGTCTCACCTGCACCACTTTACGGATGACACGGTTGAACAGGCCCATAAGCTGAGAACCAGGCAGCTCAATCTCCTTCTCCAGCTCATCTATACTCTTGTGTTGAAGCCCAATTCCCAACAACAAAGCCTGAAAAAGAATTATGTTTTACACACATGCCTGAACACACAGTGGCTAGAATAAATGGTTTCATATGAAATTATAACGATATAGATAGCACTTTCTCTTTCCATTTGTACTGTTCTTTCAAACACCTTTTCAAACTCATTGACACTTTATTTATTCTTGAAGTGAACTTTTGCCTGTATACTAGTGATTAGATTCACTGTTTTGGATTGCCACCTTGAACTGGAGAACACAAGTACAGAATACATGAACGGTGTGCAACAGACTACCTATGGCACTTTCACCTGAGCCCTAGGAGACAATGTCACACTGACTTTAGTGAGGAAACAGCTGATCACTTTATAAATTGACAGCCTGTCTGCTAATATTTAATGTATTTACCACTAAACATTCCTTTTGGACAGAGCGATATTTAGAAACTGCAACAAAATAAATGCTGTTTTCTAAGAGAAGTCACAACATTTATTAAATTATTATTATTGTGTAAAAAAATGTACTTTTATGGTATCTTCAAACAATCATTGACTGTAATAAAACTAAAAGCCATAAAATGATTTAGAATGACATTTAATAATAAATATATTTAAATGCGTGATTTTGTGTCATCTGGTTTATTTCAGATTTTTTGTTTTGACTAGTACAAGTTCTAAATGGCCGGTAAATTAAAAATCTAAGAGCTACAGAAGCTGGTGAGTGAAATATAAATATATATTTCAAGATAAAGTTTGACAAATAAAGAGAATTCCTAGAAATACTTGGACAAACACACAGTGAACTTACACACTGGGCAACAGAAAGTGTGATGTCTCCCAATTGTTTGAGGAAAAACATGCGTGCAATAACAGGGATCATGTCCATGATGAGGTGATAGTCCACCATGTTTCTTGAATACATCTCCAAACGCTTCAGGTCGTATGGAGTGAATGTGGCCGCTAATTCTGCACTGGCGAGTGCTGAAGAGACACAGACACATGTAAAGTCATCATAAAGCCAACACACATACAACATTTACTTTGAGGTGGCAGATGTGGGCCTGTACCTGCTGGGCTGTCGGCCTTAGCGTTCTTGTTCTGTGATATGTTGAGGGCCAGGGTCGGGCTAAATTTGCTGAACTGGAAGGATAGCAGCGAGAGGAACCTCCGCCGGAAATCTGTCCAACACAAGAAAAGTTAGTCTTTGAAATCAGAAAGAGATGGCTGAGTGAGCATTATATATCTATCTATATATCTTATTTATTATATTATATATCATATATCTATTATTACATGGCTCTCTGGAATACTTGATTCTGATTGGTCAGTTGCCGCATTCTTACTATATCATGAGAGATTGGAAATACTCATTCTCACCCTTCCAAAAAGCTGAGAGCCACTGGTCCTGCTCTGTAGACTCCTCAGCATTGAGCTCCTTCAGCATAATGCAGGAGTGCTCTCCCGTCAGGTCATTCTACAGATCACAATATAAGAATACACGCTTATTACAAAGTTACAAAACTTGACAATGCTAAAAAAAAAATGCTGCATGCTTACCGGAGTCTGTCTTAAATAAACAGGCACAAATCCAGCCTTCTTCCAGAATCTGGATGGGGAAGAAAGCAAGAGATATTTAGGAGTTACTAACATGTTTTGTGACAGTGCTGCAGTATAAATATCACTGTAAAACCTGCTTGCATGAAGCAACTCACTTGAGCAGTTGAGGAGTGAGACCGTAAGACACCCCGAGGTAGTCCAGCCTCTCGGCTCTCCTCTCATTCAGCTTCAACAGCAGCGGTGGCAGGTCTTTCCTGGGAGACACCACCTCCTCCAGGAGACTGACAGCCTGTACAGGAATGAAAAAAATACTCTAATCAGAATACATACTTAAATGTTTCTTATTTATTAATACTTTTGGTCCAGATATTATGCTACTTTATCAGGTGGCATTTATAACCACTAAAATGCATGAAGGACGATCTAAAATCCTGAATTTCAAAACTTATTGTACACATTGCTGCCACAGAGGGCTAATTTTGTTCTGGTTTCCTACAAAAGGTAAAACTAATGGTAGCGCATCAAATTTAATCAGTTATAACAACAAATCATCACTGAGTGATGGTACACCATTCAAAAGTCTGTAAAGATGTTTTTTTTTTTAAGAATTAATACTTTTATTCAGCATTAAATTTATCAAAAGTGACAGTAAAGAGATTTAAAATGTTACAAAATATATTTCATACAAATGCTGTTTTTTAAATTTTCTATTCATCAAAGAATCCTGAAAAAAATTTCCACAAAAAGTAGCACAACTGTTTTATGTTTTAAGTATTATGTGACACTGAAGACTGGAGTAATTTGGGATGGCTTCAGTAATTTATTTCTGTGATCAGCTTTGCCATCACAGAAATAAATGACATTATATTTTATATAAATTACATACATTTCTCTCTCTCTCTATATATATATATATATATATATATATATAAACAGTAATATTGTAAAATACTACTGTATTTTTGATCAAATAAATGCAGCCTACGTGGACATAAGAGACTTCTTTCTTCCGATCTCTTTAACATACAGTAAATGAATTTTGGTTTAAAAGTATTTATGTAATTTTTCTCTCTCTCTCTATATATATATATATATATATATATATATAAACAGTAATATTGTAAAATACTACTGTATTTTTGATCAAATAAATGCAGCCTACGTGGACATAAGAGACTTCTTTCAAAAACAAACAAACAAAAAACACTTACTGACACCAATCTTTTGAACAGTAGTGTATGTTCTGAAATTGCTTCAAAATGTTTAAATGTAAGAAGTAAAATACAGTACATATCCTGTTAAATATAATCAAGCAATGTTTTCTATACTTCTTTTCACTATA